GAGCCTCGCCCACCCCAGGACCAGGGACCCCCACTCGGACCCCTTCCAGAACGGCGCCTGGAGCCCTGACTGCCAAACCCCCGGTTGCCCCCAAGCCGGGAACCACAGTGGCTTCAGGAGTGACTGCTCGGGGCGGAGCGGGACAGGTGACAGGTGGACATGGAGCTGCTACGTCGGCCTCGGCCGGGCCCGCGCCGGAGGACCCCGCGGGGCCTGTCGCAGGCCCCCCCGGGACGTGTGAGGCTCCGGTGGCTGTGGTGACGGTGACCCCAGCCCCGGAGCCTGTTGAGAACTTTCAAGACCTGGGCTCCACGTCCAGCCTCGGACCTGGCATCTCTGGGCCTCGAGGGCAAGCCCCGGACACCCTGAGCTACCTGGACTCCGTGAGCCTCATGTCCGGGACCTTGGAGTCCTTGGCGGATGATGTGAGCTCCATGGGTTCGGACTCGGAGATAAATGGGCTGGCCCTGCGCAAGACGGACAAGTATGGTTTCCTTGGGGGCAGCCAGTACTCAGGCAGCCTAGAGAGCTCTATTCCTGTGGATGTGGCTCGGCAGAGGGAGCTCAAATGGCTGGAAATGTTCAGTAACTGGGATAAGTGGCTGTCACGGCGTTTCCAGAAGGTAAAACTTCGCTGCCGGAAAGGGATCCCCTCATCTCTCAGAGCCAAGGCCTGACAGTACCTGTCTAATAGCAAGGAACTTTTGGAGCAGAACCCGGGCAAGTTTGAGGAGCTGGAACGGGCCCCTGGGGACCCCAAGTGGCTGGATGTGATTGAGAAGGACTTGCATCGCCAATTCCCTTTCCATGAAATGTTTGCTGCTCGAGGAGGGCATGGGCAACAGGACCTGTACCGCATCCTGAAGGCCTACACCATCTACAGGCCTGATGAGGGTTACTGCCAGGCCCAGGCCCCCGTGGCCGCAGTCCTGCTCATGCACATGCCTGCTGAGCAAGCCTTCTGGTGCCTGGTACAGATCTGCGACAAGTACCTCCCAGGTTACTACAGTGCGGGGCTGGAGGCCATTCAGTTGGACGGAGAAATCTTTTTTTGCGCTCCTGCGCCGGGCTTCCCCGCTAGCACATCGGCATCTCCGGCGGCAGCGCATTGACCCTGTGCTGTACATGACAGAATGGTTCATGTGCATCTTTGCCCGCACCCTCCCCTGGGCTTCAGTGCTGCGTGTCTGGGACATGTTTTTCTGTAAAGGCGTTAAGATCATCTTCCGAGTGGCTCTGGTCTTGCTGAGACACACTTTGGGTACTGTGGAGAAGCTTCGTTCCTGTCAAGGCATGTATGAAACCATGGAGCAGCTTCAAAACCTGCCACAACAGTGTATGCAGGAGGACTTCCTGGTGCATGAGGTAACCAACCTCCCAGTGACAGAAACATTGATTGAGCGAGAGAATGCAGCCCAGCTGAAGAAATGGCGGGAGACCAGGGGAGAGCTACAGTACCGGCCCTCACGGCGACTGCACGGCTCCCGAGCCATCCACGAGGAGCACAGGCAGCAGCAGCCACCCCTGGGCCCTTCCTCCAGCTTCCTCCAGCCTCCCTAGTCTTAAGAGCAGAGGCTCCCGGTCAGCTGGAGGGGCTCCTTCCCCACCACCTCCTGTCCGCAGGGCGAGTGCCGGCCTCGTCCCTGGGGCTGTCGTCACTGCTGAGGGACTGCATCCGTCACTTCCTTCGCCCACTGGCAACAGCACCCCACTAGGCACCAGCAAGGAGGCACGGCGGCAGGAGAAAGAGCGGCAGAAACAGGTCAGAGAGGGAGTTAGGACGGGAGATCAAAGAAGGACACCGCTTGACAAAGACCAGTGTGCTTACTGTAGGTATTGATGGACCACCAAGAAAAAGGTTCAGCTGGCATCTGGACAGGACCCAAAGGGACCCCCCTACAAGTCCTAGCCCTTTGAACTGTTCGTGGATGAGAACTCAGGCTTTGCAAAAGGAATGCTGGTACAGAGACTGGG